TTACAAAGCGGTGAAAATCATTAATAGGCGATCGTTCGATGGGCTGAATTGCACAAAACGCATGATCCCACCGGCTAGTCTGGTGCGCGTTGCCATTTATTTTTTGTGAAAACAATGATATGAGGTAATAGATCGCGTGATGGGGACGAAAGCGGCGAACGCCTCGGCGGTAAGAAGGCCCGCGGCCGATCCTGTCTCCCGCCTGTCTCCCACAACATTTGGGATGAGATCTGAGTTGTTGCATAGCACTCCGCTTGCGAAATCACGCGCGCTTCACAAGATTGCGCATCGCGGGTGCGCTGAGCTCGTCGGTTTTTGCTCGTTGTTGTGGCTTGTGTTCTGTGAGGGGATGGCCAGGTTATGCTGTGGTGTTCCAGGGTGGTGCTGGGGATTGGCCGCAGCGGGTCGAGGAAGGGGGAACGTTTTTACCGTTCGGAGTAACAGCGGCAAGCCTTTCAGGTTGATGTTTTGTTGATGTTTGGCTTCCGCACGAGGTCGGGCTACCAGAGTATCGACGAGGAGGCGCTGCTGCATCCGTCCACGCTTCTCTCCGAGCAAACATCCGAGAGAAGAGCCGCGTAAGTGGTCCGCCAAAAATTTCCGCACCTTTTTATTATGATTGTGATTGGCAGCTTCTCGTTTTGCACTTCGAAATCGTTTTGTTCGGCGAGCTCATGCATGCATGCAGTGCTGCTGGCGAGAGGATGCATGCAGGCAAGCAAAGTGGCCCAGGATCTGGCCTGGTGTAGGTGGCCTGAGTGCTGAATTGCTAATGGGAAATTTTAGGGATGAAGGCAGACACTCGGATGTGTACGGCGGCCCGCCGCTCGAGCATGGCATCCCGGCGAACGAGCCCGGTGAGGCGGATGACTGCCACGCTGCAAATGTCACTGTAAAGTGGGATGGCATCGAGGACTTGGATCAGGTATGTCTAGGCTTCATGTTAAAGGCGCGCCTGGTTATTTTCGGCCTTTTTGTCCCGCACCTTTGCTCGCGAATCGATGAGGGGAGCCTGGCATTTGTGCGATGTTTGGCCGATTTTTGTTGCCGACGGTGGGGCCCAGCTTTTTTATCACGCAAGTTGCGCTTCTTCTCTGGCCCGACTGGTTAGAGAGAGCTTTTCCGTTCATTGCAGTTCTTCACGCGTGTCTACGAGTATCATCAGTACGGCGGATATGTTTGCATTGTTGTCAAGCACGTTCTCACGCTGCTTCAGTTCATCTTCGTTATCTGGTTTGTTACTTTCCTGCGAACACGTGTCGATTACGGTGTTCTGTTCAGAAGCAAAAATGTCACGGAAGGTGGGAGGCCTGTCAGCGGCAAAATTCGTCTCAGCGTAAGTCTTTTAAAGCACTTCTGTAATAAGTGTGCAAAATTATCAGCTCTTCAACGCTGTTTGTTCCTGGTTCTGCGCCGATAAACCGTTGCTTTCACCTGTAGCACTTGCCAGCTCCCACTTCCGCAACCTCAGCTTTGAGCGCATTCCCTGTCTTGTTTGATGACGGGCTGTTCCGCTTCCTGCTGCCAGATTTGCTGCGGACGTATACAGTTTGCTTGGCTGCTGCTGCTTGCTCGTAAGTTTGGCTCATCTGACTGGCTGCGCTCGCCAGTGGTAAGCCACTACGGACATGCTTAATCCTTCGTGGGCACCAGTAATGTAGGGGAGCATAGGATTGCTTATTTGGTCACATAAAACCGTTCCAGTTGCCCATCGTCTTCGAATTCTCCACCCTAGCTAGCCATTATTTGTTTTTCTACTATCGAGTAGTAGCGTAATATATCAAATAGGGTTTAATGGTTTTTGTTAAAAATAGATTAAAGACCAACTGCGTTACTATGACGCAGTACCCCTGTCCCTGGTTCAAACTTTAATCGCCCCACCCTCACTGAACTTTCGATCTTTGTCCCCTGGGGTATAAAAGCACTCCTTCCCATCACCGGGATCGCCACTTTCGACTTTTTATTCTCGCTTACTTATTCTACACAATACTGCTCCTATTCTGGGGAGTTTCGGCTGCCCAGAGCCTCACCTACTTTTTATATCTTACCTTTTTACTTTACTGTGTATGGATAAACGGGTATATAGAACGCGGGGTGTTACATACACATATACACACATACATGCACCTACCCACGGGGTACTCACTAGTCTAAGTAAGATAACAATTAGGGTCGCGATATTACTTTTATCAATGGCCCCACGTTTCGTATTCGTTTCATCTCGCTCCGCAAACGTGCAACATGTTTATTAAATCAACACACGAATAGTAACGGGCATTTTAATGCAAACTTATTAAAATTATAAGGGAAGCTAACATCGGAACACTCACAACAGCAATTAAGTGCATCTCGAACAGTGAAACACTGACCGTTTGGGGCGAGGGAAAAAGAAGGAAATTGAATGGGCGGAAGATGAAGGGAGAAGAACAGTTGGTGGTGGGAAGCTCAATATGACCTGAGGTGATAGATCAGTATTTAGGGTGCCAGAAAAGTCCGTAAATGTCAAATGCTTTGGTTCATCTTTTCCTTATGCTATGAAAAAATGTAAGATGCGGATGAGGCGCGATTCACCACTGCATTCCTGCAGCCCGCATTTTGAGTGAAAATTTTTGTTGAGTGAGGTAAAAAAGAGGAGAAAAAAAAAGGAGGAATGAGAGTGAAATTAAAATAACGGGAATTGAGGAACAATGACAGATGAATTGTTTAAACTAGTACGTTGCCAACGATTTTTAACCCAAGTTTTTTTTTTTTTTTTTTGTAAAAGGGATTTGATAATGCTGAAAGAGGAGTAGTGAAGCCAGATTATAAACAGAACTGAGTTCCATTGAACGCGCTACAACATAAATGTGGCTGAAACGCACAGCAAACAAGATTGATTGGGGCAGGAATGAACGGGGGCTTCTGACTACATCTCTATGCCTTCTGGTCGCTGTGGCACTTAAATTTACAAAGGATAGCCCGAACTGCCAGTCACTGATAATTTCATCCAGCATATTTCCAGTTAGTTCGATGTACTTGACGGCGAAGCAGGCGCTTTTACTGCTTTCAGGATGTGATATATCCAGATTGGACTAGTCATATGGATTATTTTACAGTATTTTTACTTACATTTGCTATTTTATTTTGGGTTTTTCGAGCTGTACGGGTCGCTTGCCAAATTTCACATTTTAAAGAAATACGGAGATTTTATCGCTTGGCATTAAGTAAGTCACTGCCATCATGATTTCTCCTGCTTTGAAAACCGTTCTAACAGCTTTTTCGTTAACGAAGTGCTGATAGCGGTTTTTGACTGGAAAAATTTTGCACATTTTAAAGAAATACGGAGATTTTATCGCTTGGCATTAAGTAAGTCACTGCCGTCATGATTTTTCCTGCTTTGAAAACCGTTTTAACAGCTTTTTCGTTAAACGAAGTGCTGATAGCGGTTTTTGACTGGAAAAATTTTTTGTACATTGCTGGGAACACTGATGATTTTCACCAGGATCCGCAGAAGCGAAGATTAACGTGTTTTGTAAAATCAGTGACAGTCAACCTCGTTTTCCGGCCCCATCCCCCTCCCGCTCCTCTTGCCCGCATGTTATGAGAAGTGAATACAACCCAGCTGTTAGCACACACCAGCTGCTGATAAGTTTTCGATGGATGACGCTGCTGCAGATTGCTTGCAAGCAAGCTTTCCCAATGTGTTATCGAAATGAATAAGCAGTACGTAAAAGATTTGGTTATTATTCCACTGGGGCACTTGAACCCCCAACCATTAGCGGCGCAGCACGTCACTTCCTCATTGCGCCTGTCAAATAACAAACTTTTGGGTAATTACAGAACCAGTGTTATTTGAAAATTGCTTTTCTTTGTTTTCAAGGGATTGAGGATTCGTCGTTGGGCAACCTGAAATGGCGTGAAGTTGTGCAGCTTATATGTGAGAAGCAACCTTCCATACACTTAATTTTGACCAAGGATGGTATTACGGCATTGGATCTTTACCAGCGCATTTTGCGATACAAGGCAAGTATTTTATCAGTCTCGTTCTTTGCATTACTTCAAATTGTCACTGCATTTTATTATGGGTTTCTTTGATAAATCTGTACGAGAATCTTGTTTCCCCTCCGCCCACTCTGGTAACGTTTCAATATTCCTTGCACAAACTAGATTTGGATAAGTTACAGTGCCACGCCTCGCTGCGCCACATCATACCGCAAACTGTCAATTCCGTCGCCCTGATGGCTTATGAGTTCTAATATACAGTATTTTTGCATCCATTTCCTTTTGCCTTTAAATGCCAGAATACCAAGACTGCTTGGGCTGTCAGTGTGGATTCCCTTGTTAGTGATATTTGTAGGGTATTTCCACCAGGATGCTTGTCTTTAAATATTTTCTGTGAATACCGTAAAAGCAGTTCATTCGTTTCAAGCTTTTGCCTTCAGGCAACTCTTGTTTTGCTGAAAGTAACGAAGCAATAACATTCATCTTGTAAACGATTGGAGTACGCGCGGTTGTGTAGGCATAGAGATGTAGTCAGAAGCCCCCGTTCATTCTAACCCCAATCAATCTTGTTTGCTGTGCGTTTCAGCCACATTTATGGTTTTTTATGTTGTAGCGCGACTCAAATGAACTCAGTTCTGCTTATAATCTGGCTTCACTACTCCTTTTTCAGCATTATCAAACCCATTTTGCAGAAAAAATTTGGGTTAAAAATCGCTGGCAACGTACTAGTTTAAACAATTCATCTGTCGTTGTTCCTCAATTCCCATTATTTTAATTTCACTCTCATTCCCCCTTTTTTCTCCTCTTTTTTACCTCACTCAACAAAAACTTTCACTCAAAATGCGTACTGCAGGAATGCAGCGGTGATTCTCGCCTCATCCGCATCTAATATTTTTTCATAACTCAGAAGCATAAGAAAAAGATGAGCCAGAGTATTTGTTTTCACGGTTACATAGCCTTTCATTTTTACATTGCGTTTTGTTTCAAATGTTGATGTGCATTCATTTTCAAGCAATTGCGCTTGTACAGCATTACAGCATTTGCGCGACTTGAAATCACTTCTTATAAAAGACTATTTCAGAACTATTTCGTAGCTCTTGTGAACAAGGAAATACTGCCACCGGTAATAGACGTGCCTTTCATTGGCTCGATGCCGTATTTACCGAATGGCCTAAAGATGAATGTAGAGTGGCTGTTATTTTATGGCAAATGGTCACCGTGGAATGGGATGTACGAGATCAAGGAGGAGTACAAGCACCATCAAAATGTATACGGGCTTGGTATGGTAATAGTTAAAACTTTAGATTGTTCGGCGCAGTCCGGCGAGACTTTTCCTAGCCGCTTGGCCTTACTAAATCATTCTGAAAGAGCTGATTTCAGGTGTCTTGCCTGTCATTAGTTCACAGTCTGGTTCTTTGCTTCCATTATTTCCAGTTTGGGTGTGTACGCGCGTGTGTGTATATGTGTGGGCGTATGAGTGTGTGCGTGTATGTGTGGTGCTTGATTATTCCTGGACGACTTTTGCCTTTCATCTCAAATTTTGATATACATTCATTTTCAAGCAAACCATTAAACATCATAATGTGTTCGTTACTAGGCTTGTTTTTTTTTTTCTAGCAAAACGACTGGAAAGGATTATAACTTACATGGCTGTGGGAAATTTCGTATTCTTCCCAGTTGTATTCTTTTATCAAGTACTCTATTTTTTCTTTACTTATGGCGAATTGCTAAAACGTGATCCGAGTTCATTTGCAATTCGTCGATATTCGAATTACGGAAGGTTATCCATTTCTTTATAAAAAATTAGAAAAGCTAAAAAAAACCACTGTTCTCAGCTGAATGATATAACAGTAATTGAAAATACTAACATTCGCAGCCTTTGCAAGTGTTGTGCGAATTGTTCCCTGGTGATTTGGCAGCTTAAAACATAATCTGTAACTGTTTGAAACAGTGGGTGGAACTGTTGATTTTCTGCCAGTAAATTTTTGCATAGTTTTTTTTTGACTTTTCGAATTTCTGCAAACAGTGCATTTCGGTTCGAAATTCTTTCGACGTGCTGTTAGATAGTGAAATTTGGAAGAATAGTTTGAGACGATAACTCAAAATTACAGCTTTGTTCAGGAATAGGTTGCGGCCAGTGAGCTGGATTTGGTAGGGCGGTTTTGAGTGGCAATTCAAAAACACGGTTTCGTTCAGGAATAAATTACGGCATTTCAACGAATTAGACCACGAACTACGAATGCGTTTGTCGAGAAGTCATCGAGCTGCGACACAGTACATGGAGCAGTTTGTATCGCCGCTTGGTCAAGTAATTGCAAGAAAGGTGCAGTTTGTCGCTGGTGCTATTTGTATAGTGCTGCTTGTGCTTGGTCTATGGGACGAGGACGTTTTGACGGTTAGTTGGTTTTGGTGCTACTGATAGTCAGTGTGCGGTTACTTTCATTGTGCTGCGTGAGAATGGCATATTAATCAGTTGGAATTAAAATATACTCATTTTTTTGCAAACATTGGCCAGACGTATTCCAGCGGCCTCATCTCGCCACTTAGCGACTGCTCTGGCCTCCTCACATCACCAGCCTGGCTCATTTTCCAAATGCCTGCCCTCAGATTGACACAGTGCTAGTGAGGGATTTTGCATGCTGCATTTACGCGGTTTAGTTTGCCCAAACTGACTTTGAATTTCTGCCCTGTAGCATCCATTGCGTGAGCGGACTGCATGCATCTGCGTCATAAAAAGATCAAAGTAAATATGATGTTGGGCATTTTTAGTCTTTGACAAATCACGTATTTTGGATGTGCTGGAGTTTTTTTTTGGCAGAGAATGATCGTATGATTGGGCGTGACACAAATCACTCTTATGAAAGCATTTGAATTTTTTAGGTTGAACATGTTTTGACGATAATATCTGTGAGTGGTCTAATTGCTGTTGTTTGCCGAACATTCATTGCTGATGAGAACATGATTTATTGGCCCGAAACTTTACTTAATATGGTAGTAGCACAAATACATTACGCGCCTGATTCGTGGAGAGGCAAGGCTCATACAGGTGATCTTTCTTGAGCAATAACAGAAAGTTGCAGCGTGATGGTGTGGCGTACTTGCAAGACATTTAAACCTGCGCCAGGGACCACCTGTGTTTCACAGTTTCCGCTGGGAGCTGGCCCTGAAAAGCTGCTAAGCGGCAGCAGTTTTTTTTTAATGCCAAGCCTATCAAACTGAGGGGAAAGAGGTTGGTTATGACCGCAAGGACGACGGGATGGAGAATGCTTTGTTATATTGCTCAACGACTTTTATAAAAATGAACTGTTTCCCGCAACAAATGACTTACAAAAAATCGTTGTGGTCAGGAAACAATTTAGAATTTTTCGGAATAACGCGCTCCAAAACAACGAGAGTAAGTAATGTTTTCGAGACAAGGAAGCACAACTTAGAAAGTTGTTTTGAAATGGTGCACGTTCGTAGTGAATACGAGAGCGGCGAAATTTCTGATAACTCTCTAGGGGGCACTTGGCTACATTGCCTTCCTTCACTACTGATCGAGGCTGTTTTTATGATCTTACAAATAGAAACATATGCACCAGCAATGTATTTATATTTGGGCAAAAGAGATTGATGTTCTGCAGACAGATTGTTAGTACATTTTTTGCCCTCGTTTCTTCAGTTCTGACTTTCTGGGCCAATTTTTCACCATCTCTTAATTTGATTGTGGTATTGCTTCCTTTTTGCAAATTTCATTTTTCGGCTTCTCAAATTTTTGGGTCTCATATTATTTTCGCTCAACTTTTTCATATATTTACCACATCGTATTGGTGAGATTCTGCCATTTTTTCGGACAAAAGATGAGCATGTTTGGCCCTGACGTCCATTCACTGCATTCCATTTATACAAATGCCCACTTGTTCAGTGATACGTTATGTTCATTTGAGCATTTTTTGCATTAGCATTGTTTTTTATCAGCTGTTCTTCTGGCCAGCCGTTGTTCCATTGGGGACTTTACTAGTATTTCTCACTAGCTGCTTACTTTAATTCTGCCTTTTTCCGATGAATAAGCCCGGCGTTTCTTTCGATAAGAAGTTAAAAGTCTGGAAAAGGCCTGTCGTTGGTTTTTGCATATGAACTGAAAAAAGGAAAAAAGGATTTTTTTGCAGATGCTGTTCGCAGAGAATTTGGCCAGTTGTTTCAGCTGAAGGCACAGTTTTTGCTCGAGGAGCTGCTAAGTCCTATTTTAACTCCGTTCATCCTGTTTTTTTGGTGAGTTTCCATTGATCAGCAAAGCAGAGAATTGTGTCACGAACCAGTTGCAGGCAGTCTGTATGGGCCATGTAAAAATCGGCCTCTACTTCAGGACTTGTTCTATAAAGTAAAATAGTAACTGACAAATGAGATCGTTACTTTTTATTTCTCAAGTGAAATGCATTTCTTAGTTTTTCTTTTTTTTTTTAATCCATTTATACGCATTTAAGGATTCGTCCTAAAGCAAAAGAAATTGTTGATTTTTTCCATCATTTTACGGTTTCCGTAGAAGGTCTTGGTGATGTTTGCTCATTTGCTCAAATGGATATCCGTCGGCACGGCGATGCAGCTTGGAGTTTTAATGAACATACAGAAGAAGGTAAAATTTAATCATCATCATCATGCAACATTAGGTGCAATCACTTTTGGGCCGGCGCATTTGTTTGGGTTTAAAATTACTGTTCAAAATACTGCTTCGATGGGTACCGTAGAGTGTCTGGCCTTTGTCTTGTGTCTCGGGCAATCACTGGAGCCTTTACGATTTTGTCAGCGTGCGGTTACAACCGGTGAAATTTCCAGTATTTGGCTTGCTGTTGGGAGAAGAGGAAGGAGGAAGGGCTGCATTCGCCTTGCGTTCAAAGAAGAGCTAAGGGCGTTTTTTCTTTCAAGCAAATAAGCTGATTGTACCGACCTTTTGGGACGAGTATTGCTGGTGTTATTTTGTCTGAATTTGAATACCTTTCCTTCTTTTCGTTGCCGTCTATCATTTTATTTTCAGAAGTTGCAGCTTCTCGGGAAAGAATTAGTGCAAATGATGGGAAGACAGAACTGTCTTTGATCTATTTTGCCAGTAATCATCCGGAATGGAAACCACCATTACGCGCTGCACGATTCCTTGATGATATGCGCGAACGGGTGAGTTTTTTTTTTTTTCTTATAGATTGTACAGTTCATCTTCCACATAGGGCACTGGTAATTTGTGAACTGACAAAGGCTTGGATACAAGCTGTTTTGCGCATTGCCAGTTCAATTGGGGCCATTTGCTGCATTTTCCTTTGTTCATTCGTTTCTTGTATTGTACATCGCATCGTCCATCTTTTGAGATGAGTTATTTTTTCCAGATGAGGCACGATATGGCAGCTCTAAAGGAGGGAGATCTGGATGAAAATGCACTTTTAAACAGCTTACATTCCATCCAGGCCATTCCATTTGAACAGCTGCAACAACACAGAAACACCGATGGCACACAGTCGCTTATTGCTTCATTGTATGACCACGATTTACATACCGCACCACAGATGTCGCTTTATAGAAGAGGTAAAATTTTCTAATTTATTCGTCAAATCGCTCTGAGAGCAGATCCTCAAACTTTGGGGCTTGATCTCTCTGTTGCTGTTCCTCTAGAGATTTGGTGAGGCGGATGTCCATGGTGCTAGTGTGTAGCTTTATCATTCCCAGTTTTTGGAACTGGTCTATAAACTTTTATATTTATTACTTTGTTCAGTGTATTGTAAAGTCTTATGCTT